AAAATAAATGGAATAAAAATAAAAAATCATCACATTCAAGAACGTTGCAAATTATATAGATCCGAGACGTCGGCCCAGAGAAATCCGTCCCTACCTAATGTGTGCGTCCACCCCTGTTAATTGTTGTTGGGTCTTAAACAAAAAAAAACAAAAATGTAATCTGCAAAATATAAAATACAACTATGTGGTTAAATACAGATTTTCTGATGTGTAACCGTTGTCAACGTCGTCGGAGAAGTCTATTGAAGAAACAAGGTGTTGTTTTCTCGAAATAATACTATAATTATAATGTACATACATTCGGGCAATTAATTACCTACACTGATAGGACAGTCCCACGAAAACGTTGACCTTAGTTACTATAGTCCGTTTGCAACCCATACTCCTAGTAGTATGTTTGTACATTGTAGCGACATCATTTTCATATCACAATATTTAATCAATCTAATATTTTATAGGTATTGTCTTTTTGGAAAAAGAAATTGATAGATTCGTTTGTCCGCAATCAGATTAGAATACATATACGTCATATTTTCAATGAAGCTTCAGATTTTCCAAATTTGAGATAAAAATATAAATTATCATAACACATAGCAAATACCTGCTTATTTCTCAAATACACACATTGGTTAAGTCAAATGCACATTTAGTGTCCTACTACCGACTACGCTTTAAAATAAACCCTGGTAATAGACAAGTAAACAATCTTATTACGTATCGCCAATCATTGTATCTTGTCGAGACTAATATTGAAACATATTTTTCTAAACACTTGCCACCTTCAGTAATGTATCGACAAGCAGCTTAAAGGTTTAATTAAGCAAAAAAATATAACTAAATGTCAAAGTGATTCCCTATAGTGTCTTTTTAAATTTGCCTACGCAATGTCAACGATTATCCAAATTATGTTGCGAAACATTTTTGGCTTTTTTTAAAAAAAAAAACGTTTTGAACGAGCATCGAAGCAATTCCAATACATAAATTGTTTATGTTATCCTTAAACGTGGGGATTTACCCTAAATTATGGAAACAAACTTTTACCAGATTTCTTTTGTTATTTATACGTCGCTATACTTTTTTATCTGTCGATGGCATTACAAGGTGTTTATTATGGTTAACCGTATTGTGATAGATGTCTAAAGTTACAACAAGATTCAAACCAAATGGTGCCTTAGTGCTCAGATAATGGATTGTGTGTCACACGATTAATATAAAATACTAAATTATACTAAAAAAAATTAATCGGATTTCGACAATAGTTAAAAATCGTTTTGCACGTTTACCGGTTGCCGTTGTTTTGTGTGTGCTGCTGGTGTACTTTCTTTAGTTTTTTTAGCTTTTTTTTTTTGCCACCAGCCACCTATAGTTTACCGGAAAATAACACTGTTAAAATAGTAGGCACCATAATATTTAAAATAGCCTTTGGTCGGAAGGACGGAAACGCGACCACATGAGCTAACGACCGGTCGTGCGGCTAAATAATTTATGGCTTTGGATTATACAGTTGTGTTATATTATTAGAGCCGACATAATATTATCGCTATCGATGCACTTTGAAAGTCGTGATGAAGTTTTTAAGACGCCTGTTAAACCGGACAAATCGCCTATATTATGTACTTTGCGCGCGCAAAAACGAATTCACTGCAATAATAGGGAGACACACCCCTGTTCCCCCGTCCGGTTGTCTTTCTGGATCATGTGAAAATGATTTTTTTTCCTTTCCGCGCATAATAATTTAAGGGGCGTCGTTGTCGTGTAGGTTATGTTATTATTTTTTTTTTCTTGGACAAATTCCCGGCCGAATGTAGGTACAATAATAATTACCCTGCACGATAATGGTAATAATTGGCCGAAATTAAACGTATGCACAGGCCGCGTTCTCGCCCGGGTTGCAAAAAATAATAATAATAGCTCTATTGATGGTCTAAACGCATTAATGAGTATTATGTCACACTGCACACGAATAACGATAATTAGTATTGAAACAATAAATTTGCCGTTTTGAAAGGCCCGCCGCCGTGTTCTCAGATCGGTTGGGTTAGGTCGCGCTCCTTGACCTGGTTTTTTATTTTTTTGCAATCGAAAGCTCTACAGTTTAATAGTGATAATCACGATTATCAATTATGGCACTATGTTAAATTATAATAAAAAATACATATTGTAAAAATTAAATTTCTATCGATGCGAACAACAGTCATCCGAAAACTATTTGGATAATAAGAGAAATCTTTGGTGGACTTCCATGGCGCGTTACTGATTTTTTTTTAGACACCATTCGCTCGAACAGCTATCGTTGACAAAAAAAAAATATTATTCTTATAAAAATATTTACAATAATTAATTAAACAAATAACAAATCATAGACGTTTTTTTTAAATTCATTGAATGACATTCATCTTTATTTTTAACAATTTCATTAATATAATTATTATTAGCGTCTCGTGATTTCTATTATTTCGTAGATAATTTTTAATTAAAATGCATTTTCTTTTGTTATTGACCAATAAAAAAATTATTTTGATCGTTTTTCTAACATAACCCGTACTTGGTTCTTCTTTGGAAAGGAAATTAATTGTAGTAAGAACGAATAAGTTATTTATATTAAACTCAACAAAAAGGCAAAATGAAAGTTGTATTTTTAATATGTTGCACGCCGAAAATGTTTTTCTTAGAAGACGATGGAAATTATCTTGCGCGGTATGTCCAAAGAAATCGTACATCCTAACCTGTCAAAACAATATCTTGTGCAATTATGACCTGTCAAGGATACAGTTTGCAAGAGTCGTTTAATTATTTGGAGTTTCCTCGATTTGGGACAAAGGGAAGGAATTTGTTTTTAATCTAACTCGAGCATTAATCGCCGAACACAACCAAAAACAGCTATGCCGTGTCAGATTGCTGATAAACAAATACACTCAACTTCTGAAATAATTGTTTAATACAGACGCTCGGCTACAGATTAAGCCGTCGTCGTGCCCCAATTTTCGTTTTTGTTTTCAACTGCAAAGTCCATTACGTTTCGCTAGTTTGTTATTCAATGGCTTCTCCCTTCCACTGTCCCTCCGTACATTAATTTCTTCGTGTCGAAACGATACCAATTACCGAAGATAAAACTCAACTAGAACATTACCTGTTGCTATCAAACATATATAGATAGCATTATGTAAAATACATCTTAGCACGCGATTAATCTAGGAATGTTTATTATGACCAATAGGTCTGTCACGATTCAAAGTGCGGAACTCGAAAATACTTGCACAACAATAACTTCAAAATAATATATGATTACCAACGCGTTGTCACTTTTGCACGCGTTTCTAGAACTGGCCCAAACGGTCGAGGTAATAAGCAGTTGGCTATAACCCGGAATTAAACAACAACAACCCACACAAGTCTTGATAATTTATCAGCAATAATTACTACCTACCAGAAAACCCCGTGTTCAAATTAAATGTACTTAATTGTGTAATAATTCATAACGTGCACATTAATCGTCGAATACATTGTAACCAAAGTGAGACCGGCCTATATATTATGTTGACTACGAGACGCAATCACGCGTTAGGCCAACAGCGGACTCCACAAATGAAGAAAAAAGTGGCCTATGTTTGCAGATACAGATCAACTCAGTCTTCTTAATACTCTTTCAATAAATAAGATTCAATTAGCACTTTTTCACCGATTCATTAATGACTGTCGTCTATCTATTTTCGATTATTTTTTTTTAAATAAAAATTGGCACCACCAATAGAAGTATTGTTAATTAAAGTCAATAACGTCTCAACGTGGAACAAGTTGACCGAGTAGGTGTATGCGCTCGAGACACGAGAAAAACCGAATAATAATAATATAATTCCTTATACCTCTATACTAGTGTTATTTATTGTACACTTTACAACGGATTATGTATTCCGGACACTTAAACGAGGCGTCTTGGCTCGGCTTTGCGTTACTATTATTATTATAAGTATAATACATAAACGTTATTTTTTTTTTATATATTATGGAATTCGTTATGTGTTGGCCAGCCGCGAAGCCGGTGTAAGTTGTCATCTGGGGCCCACTCGAGTTTTTTTATCATCGTGGACGATAAATAATAATAAATAAATTACTACGATTTTTTTTTCAAGTTCCCCTCCCCTCCTAAAAAAATATTAAAATAATATATTATTAAAACTACTGAGTGCGCAATATTATTTTACATTAATTATGTTGCATACAAGTTACACACACACACACACACCGAATACATAGTCTTCCACGACAAGGTCATTAATTAGTTACACAATCGAAACCGACTGTACACGCGAAGATGCCATTGCATTATTTTAGTTCAAACGTAATTTGTATAATAAATTTATTTTTTTATTTTGTCTTGATAATCTTTTATCTTTTTGCCTTCACAAAAACAACAACAATAAAAACGACCCATCTATAAGAACCCGAATCCTAATAGTGTTATTAAAAAAAATTCGATCTGTGATTCTGTACGGATAATAATATTTATCTATAATAAAAAGAATAACTCCGGCAGGCCCTAAGGAATTTGGAAAAAATAGAAATTCTTTGTCTAAGCCGACGCGCTAACCTAACCTGTATGTGACTTCCGACCGACACGCGGATGTTGATAGTTTTTTTTTTTTGCCATCAAAACCAGTATTATAATCTGCATAATAATATCAACGCCACGCTGACTTAATGATAAACCTGTTTTCTATTTCTAAGACACAATTATTCTGATGAGTCCTACTATCTTTTTGAAAAGAAAAAAACAGATTGGTTGTCCGATATTTAGGTCCCGCCAAGTGTAAATAAAGAAAACCCCAACAATTACCGTGTAATTACAAAATACTAGACAGTGTTAATTGCAGACTAATTGAGGTTCCATTTGCAGGTACGGTACTGGCGGACCGTGAAAATACACGCGTAGCGTACAGCGACAACGGTGTCGCGGATAAGTCAACGTAAAGTGTGTTGCGGTGGTGTACACGGTTGCTTACCTGCGTCGATGTCTACGTAGTGGCTGATGGGGTCCGCGTGGGAAATGACTCTGCCGCCGCCGCCGATTCCTCCCCCTCCTCCTGTGCTACCGCCACCGCCGCCGATGTCTATCGACGAGCTGTCATCGTAGTCGGACGTCCTGGACGACGAAGCTTTGGTGGACGACACGGCGGCCACGGAAGACACGCTGAGCTGGCCGACGGAACGAAACGTGGACGACGCGGCCGACTCGGACGCGTGCGGCTGCGGGATGGGATGCGGCACGGGCCGTTCGTCCAGAAAGCTGCCGGGGTTCATCTGTAGCTCGTGTTCGCGCTGTTCGTCCTCCTGCTTAGCCCGGCGTTTGGCCGTCTGCAGCGCGCAATTCTTGCGCGTGGCCGCCGTCTTCTGGCACTTGGCGCACTGACAGTCGCGGTACATGCAGTACCGCTTGTGCTTCTTCCAGATCTTCGCTAGCCCGTGGTTCTTGCAGTTGGTGCACAGCCGCTTCTTCTCCTTGCGGCCGCCGCTGCCGGCCGACAGCGACACGGTCACCGCAGACACGACTGAGTCGTGCTTGTCGCCGCCTCCGCCGTGCTGCTGCTGCTTCGGCGGTAGCTCGTACAGCACCCGGCCGGACTTCTCGATTTTCGGCATGTCGTACGACGGCCGGACGGACGTTATCAACACCGCCGGATGACACCGGATGGCGTCCGGTGCGAACGATCAACTCGGGTGCGTCAACGGCCGTACGCGCGCCGCGGTCTAACCGACAGACGTGCCGCGGCGGTCCGGCCGGCGAGCACGTGATAATATCCCACAGAGGCGGCGGGTCCCCACTCGACGTGCGGCGGACCGCGCGCGCTACCGACACTCAGTACGCCCGGCGCTGTCCGTACGCGAACAATGGCCACGCGTCGTCTTCGCCGCACCGCGCGGACAATACAAACGGCCGCCCGACAAACGATCGGACGCGACGGCAACGCGGCGATACCCAATGATCGCGACCGATTGATAAGCGCGGGCGTTCCAAAAAAAAATATATAATTAGAAAATTAATTGTGTATTTAAGTTTTGTTTTTTTGATAAACTCACGGAGAGAGAGAGAGAGGACTTTATATCGAAAAATATTGAGCAAAACGAAACAAAAATCAGCCCGGAGCGTGACGAAAAACGGATAGTAAAATATATATATATGTGATATTAAATTGCCTCGTTCTTTAATTTAGAGAAAAAATATTACAACGTATATTGGTATTGTTTTTAAAAAAAAAAATTTTAAATTGTTTGGTATTTTTTTTTTTAATTATTTAGATATACTATATACGTATATATGTATATATTATTCAAATTTTTCTCGGTTATCGGTCCGCGGCGGGACGCTTTGCGAATGTGTACCGACGGCGGCGGTGTCCGGTGAGACTAGAACGGGTAACTTAGTGCAACTGCAGTGTCATGCACACAGACGGTGCAACAGGCTAGTGGCATTGGGTGCACACTAGCGCCGTAATACGTCACGGGCGCAAAACCGAAGCAACCGTGTAACGGCGGCGACGGCGGCCAATGCCGTTTCGCGCCACTAATACATAATAATATTATTATTATGCACAAATAACTCGCTTAAATTATTTATTATTATTACTATGGTTTTATAATATGTAAATTATTATAATACATTATCATTATCGTAGTACAATATTTATAACTCTCGAGCGGCAAGTAGTAATAATAAAATAAATGTTCTTATTTAAGTTCGCGAAACAAAACACCTACTTACATACCTACTTTAAAAGCGGTGTTGTAAAAAAGAAAACACTTTAAATTGTATTTTAAACATTTTATCATTTTATCTCAGTAAAACGGTTTTTAAATAAGTAGGTTCTATTGCGCGTACCCCGTTTGGACTAATAATGGAATGTATTAGAAAATCTGAAGTGATATAATTTTAAAATATTGAAACGTTCACATATTACTACACATTTTTTCAATGAAATTATATTAAGCTACCTATGCTATTTTTGTTCTAACGTTGTTGTATTGATAGAGGTATTGTTCAGGTGCTTTTCTTAGACATCAGGTCTGAAAATTGGACTAATGCTAGATCTGATTTAAAAAACCTGTAATCCAACTTTTTATTTATATTGAGAATAATCATTTATTACTTTATAGCATGGTTATTCTTAAAAAAATGTATCGCCAATGATGTTTAAAACCTACTTATCATACCGACTTAAGATTGACATCGGACCGTTTTTCATTTTGTTAATTTATTTACCATTTTCAATACTGTTCCATTACACATTCTTTAGTTTTACTAATATTTTAATGTAACTCTTGAGTTCATTACATAATCGTTGAAGTTATCTTTGTAATAAAAAAAAAGTTTTTAAGCATTTAATACTAATATTTTTAATATACCGCCATTAAACCCTAAACTGCATGTGTGTATGTTTTTTGTCATTATAAATAATGGAAATGAAAATAATGAAAACATAAAACATGAATATAATTTTGTATACGCTATTTGGGTTTTAATAATTGTTCATTTTTTTTCTTCTACAAACAAAATTAGTTTTATGTTTATGACTTTTGTCTAGGACTATCAGTATCATACTATTTGACTTTTAAACATATTAAACACAATATTATTGCTAATTAAAAATGAAAACCTATTGAGATGCACAACTTTAATACTATTAAAGTTATTAGCTATTAAATTAATAGCTTTATAATTTTAATGATAATTGTTATTTAAGCACATAATATGTGGCCAGATCATGCAAATGTGAACGGTTTTCGCCTGTGTTGAGCAAGATCAGATTAAATTAAATATGATTTATTTTTAATAGTATACAATATTTGGATTTTATTGGGTGGTAAAAAAATTGAGAGGATATTTCCTTAAAAACCAATGAAAGTTCATAAATAAAAATCTGTTTTATTTACTCTTTTTTTTATTTCAATCTTTGGATTAGGGAAAAAATATTTTAGGTTTTTAATCCAGTCTTCCTTAGTAGTCAATCTCATGTCTTCATTGTTGTGTTATAAAAACACAAACGACACTTTTCGAGAAATCCAGAAGAGAAGAATGAATTCATAAAAACAAGTATTACCATATTATTATTACTTTTAGAATACACACCACGTTTTTACATAAACAAATCATAGTAATAATATTTATCAGTTTAATGTCGTAGTGAGTTAACATCATTATTATTTTATTCCTTGTTTTTTAAATATTTATAACTGCATATATAATGTTTTATGGTTTCAGATTTAAAAAAAAAAATTATAATGGCGATTAACAATGTTATTGAATATATATTGGTTAGCTAAAATATGTATTTTCTACACGTTTAAACTCATTTGGATATTTTTTATTTAAGTATAATAATAGTACATATTATAACATTAAAATTAGCTCTGAAAAGACTATTTTTATTTTAACCGATTTATGCAATTTTGGCCTTCATAGCTATAAAATTATGGTATGAATTAAACAGTTTATTTTTATGAGAACCACATAACCTTACTACAATATCCTTTAGATATTCACTTGCAATTAATAAGCGATAACAAAGCGCAGTTATTTGGTTTTATTTAACTAACACAAATCTTAAGTATTAAGAAAAAAATATGTTTTCTGGAAGACATCAAGGACGTCAACTTGTCTTCGGTATTTTCATAAAAATGATTTTATAGTATTTTACTTACATATGATCGCATTATCCAATGTACTATCCGTGTTTAATCAACGTTTTTGTATTACAAGAACTGATGCTGTGGCTTAACAAACATAATATTAACACTAACAACAAATTACAAAACATTTTCTGTATAAAAAAACCAGCTAAAAAAAAAACATTTTCACTAGTGGGGTTACAAATAATAATCAGTTTGTTAATCAATTTATTTCCGACGGTACTTCATGTATTACCTATACATAAAATTGTTATAACCGTCATAATTTATCAAACGCCAACCTAACTCTTTGCCGGACGCGATGCATAATTGAATTAGTTAATTCCTCAATTGGTCATTTGAATAATTCGAAAAAGGTCAAATAAAGTCATAGATAGAACATACAAATTATTATACCGCACGAGATGAATTACTTTCAACACAATATATAATAATATAACGTGTATTGTTTTTTTTTATTTTAATGTGTACAATGTACATGTATATACTGTATAATAATAACTCGATTCAGTTAGAAAACTGAATTACACTTTATGATTAGAGTCTTTTCGAAATTAACGTTTAAAAGTTATTTTTCAAATTTAAGACAACAATTTTTTATCTTTTAAATATTTTTTTCAAAAACTCTATCCCAGGGATTAGACTTATCTATGCATTCTGAACATTTTATTTTACCGTGTTTTTTTATAATTCAATTTATAATAAAAATGTACAGCTAAAAACCTTGAAAGTAGATGTTTGAATTAGTAGACTGTAGACATCATAATGAGTAGGTAACAAAATAGCTAAAGCCGAGAAAAGAGTATTCGAAAAGTGCTGTCAGTCAAAAAGGGTAATAAGCCTTTATGTAATGTCGTGGCATATTTTATTCCACTTGAAAAAAAGGGTTAGGCGGATCTAAAAAAGAGGTAATACATTCGCCTCGAAACATATATTATTAGTATAACAATATTATCGCTTCGCTATTTACATTGTGTGTTATACTTGGGCGACAGATTAAAAAAAAATTATTATTATAACAATAATAATAATAATAATAATATGACAATAAGACGTTCGCACAATAATTATACAACGATCCACTAACGGCCCTGTCAATTAAGTTTCTTAGTAAAACTCGTTAAAATAAACGAATAGCATTAATTATGTAAGTATATACATATAAGATTCACATCAAACTTCAAAGAATTCTGAACAGCTATTGTTTCACACTTCCGTTTGTGTGCGTTTTTTTAGCACTATGCTATTATTTTGTCACAGACTACACACCAGTTGTTCTTGGAGTAGAAAACCAATTTTATAGTGTTTGCAAATGATAATTTATTTACTTAACCCAGAACGGTGCTCAGTTGGCGAGTATACATAGGTGTGTACAGTTAAACTGTACATTGTATTCCTTTGAGTGTACTCATTTTTAGGCAAACCCAGATGCTGCCAAAATAGTGTGAAAAATAATTGAAATATCAAATGATCGGATGTACTGTTTATAGTAGGATGATTTAATTACAATGCGATTGTTTTAACATGATATTGATATATACAAACGGCTAACCATAATAATAATAAAAAACCTACCAATCAGGTGATGTTATCAAACAATATGTTTTCAATACTTTCAAAATAATATGTCATAAAGATGATTTGGCGAGAAATATATTGTTTTATACATTTTTCCAACGTTTGAACTATATTTATAATGTAATAAGGATTTGTAACTTTTTCATTGAAACAATTATCGTGTATACTATAAACGGAAAATCACTAGTAGGTACTTTTGTTACACATTATGTCAACATAAAACTAATGTACATAGCTGTGCTTTAAAAAAACAACAATTCCTGACCTATAGGAATGTCTTAATCATAAAAAAAAATACTAAAACTGTTATAAATGTAATTCAGGAATAAGTTTAGAATATGTTAAGCGGTTATGTATCTTAGTTTTTTATGATTTTTTTTTTTTGGCAAGAGAGAAGGGTCTAGTTTGTCGGATGTGCCAGCTAATCTCGTTGATAATAATATTCTGTTGCCATTATGTTTGTTTATAGACTATAGTAGGTATGGTACAGTAGTCTGTTTATTGTATGGTAATTAAATTGGCGAATTCAATTATTGCTGTTCTTTAAGGATGTGTATACACATACGGCGAATTCATTTCGATTATAGAAAGTTATTTGTTTGCTAAATGTGCAGATCTGGCGTTCCAACCTACCGTTGCGATGAGATAATAAAACAATTATTACTCAATCGTAGACGTCGAATTTGATAGGCAACCGTCCAAGCAAGCCCCCTTCCTGTGATCGACCATTGGCATTTATTGTCAATCGATAAATCTGTCTATACTTATACAGTACTTACTTATATTGGACTATCGAATCCGAGAATCATACCGTCGTCTTATCGGCGTTTTTTATTAATGCGCTTTTTTTGCTTTAATACATTGCCATGCATAACGATATAGGAAATGGAAAACAAGTTATAGCGGGTTTTATCGTTATCGCTTTGATGTAATAATCAATTGCAAAGTATATGTCTATTTGAATTCGCGCCGCTTTGGATAAAAACTATTGCTAAAAATATCCACGGAAACTCGACCAAACGGCAAACGGTCAAGGTCGTTGCTAGTTCTGACCAGAGCTTTTGCGCATCAAATAGATAAAAAGTTACCCAGGCAAGTGGTATAACGAGAGTTAACATTTCAAATAACACGGGTTTAGATCCAATAACAACAGTGCCTACTTTGCATATTATGTTTTGTATGATTTTCCAGAGAAAAAACTCCG